AGTCCACATACCACTACGTTTCCTACGTGGAAGAAGTTTATATGATAACTTTATAAACAAGAGTTGGCTGGGATGCAGAGGAACTGGAACGCTAGTGCATTGTGGGAATGTAAACTAGAAAACAGTCTGGTGGCTCCTTTCACCAAGTCAAACATAGAATTATCGTGTGATCCAGCAGTCCTGCTCCTTGGCAAAGACCCGGAAGACCCGAACGCAAGCACTTGGCAGCTGTTTGTACACCAGTGTTCACAGCAGTGTCACGCACAGCAGTCAGACACCGGAAACAGCTCCAGTGTCGATGGAGGAAGGAACTGGCGAACCACGGAGTGGGGCTCTTCCCCACAGAGTAAGCGCCGCACTGCACATGGGTGGGGCTTGTTGTGGAACCAGCCAGACGCAGCTGGCAAGAACTCTTGTCTCCGCCTGCACGAACGGCCTTGGGTCGTCACCTTCACGAGGATGGACGTGTGCTGTTTTCCGGGGCTGGGGCAGGGGAGCTGGCGCAATTGGGGTTTCTGTGGCAATTGAAGTTTGGTCTGTATAGTGGTGACGGCCACACGACATCGTGAATGTATTTCATGACACTGAATTGTACTCTTATAAACGTCGACTCTAAAGATGTGTATTTTACCACTGTAAGAAGATGTATATTTGGTAACCTTTAAACAGTTTGGGATGCTGTATCTATCGCACTTGGTCAATGGCTCAGCCTGGGCTGCCCTAGTCTCCTGGCCCCGCACCTTGGACACCATTTCTGGGCAGGAGGACGGCGTCCAGCACGTTGCTGTCCTTGTGGGTGAGGGAGGTGGGTCATCAGGTGGCGTCTTCTTGCGACCCCTGGGGACCTGGAGCCAATTCCAGAAACTGCCCTGGCCTTGGTGTTGAGTATAGGAAAAAACAAGAAAGAAAACTTCTTGACATTGTCAGGAATGTTGTAAAACAAAGGAAGGTGACAGTGTTTCCATCAGGACGCTCGTCATCACCCCACTGAACAAATGTGCATGTCGTCTTTCTTCTGGACGGGGAACTTCCAGGCCCGCCTGTCTTACCTTGTGTCCTCCGTGGGGTTGCTGTGTTCCAGATCTAGTGGATAGTCTTGTAGAAAAGGAGAAAACTTTAAAAGTCTTTATAAATGTTAGATTGCTTGCTAATAGGTAGCATTCTTAGCATTCAAAGAAGTAGTTAATTATTAAAGTTAAAAGTTAATTATCAATTATTTTTTACTCTGTTATGGTCCGGATTTTTCTATAATTCAAGTTACCCTTGAAATTAACATGGCAGATTGATAAGATTTTCATCTGTGAATATTATCTGAAGCAATCTGTCGTAACTTAGATAAAATGTATCAGCTAAGTTTTGTAGTGAGAAGTTTTACATTTCTGCTAGTTTTTGAAATAGACAATAGAGATTTTTCCTCATAGTGGTGGGAATATTCGACAGAGAGATGATTACATCAATCAATTATTTGAACAAAGATTGGGTATAGCTTACATATGATTTTTTAATAATCCCTATTTCCAAGGAAAAATATTTGCAGAGTACTTACTCATTGTGCCATTTGTAGATAAATTGGTTATGAGTTGGTCTTTGTTTTTATTGAAACATAGATTCTGTGTGTAAATGTGGATTTTAGGTATATCTTCTCTATGTGTATCACAAGTGTCTGAAATCAGAGAACTTGAGCAAAATGATTTTTCTATATTAAACAGTGAATTTCATTTGAACCTGGTTTGATCCCACAGCTTCATCCTCATTTCCCTCCGGTGCACAGATCTCAGTACCAAGACGGCCTCATCCTGGGCTGGCCCATGTGGCCCAGCCCTTCTCAGCTGGGTCAGTCCTGGGATGTAGTCTGACTCTAACCTGTTCCCAGCCTGCTGACTTGGCGCGGGAGAGACAGGGGACCTGCCCCTTCATTGCCAGGGGAGGGGAGGGGGGTTAACTCTGGACCAGAGGGGTAAGGGAGGCTCAGAGACTTGGCTGCATTGTGGCCTGTCGTCTTTTCTGGTGGGACACGTGTGCAGGGCAAACTCACGTGCGGGCAGAGGCGGTTTGGCTGCCCCACAGGCCAGCAGCCTTGCCTTGGTTTTCTAAGGGGCGTGTGTAATGCTGCCTCTCGGGTAGCCCCAGTTATCTCATCAGTCCACATGGTGTCCCCATTACAGAGGAGGACATGGGGCTGGAGAGGTTGCTAAGGGTCTGCTCTGCATTTCTCTCTCCAGGCCCAACTCTGTTTCACCGGCACCCTGCCGAAAGCATGTTCCCAAGTGGGACCTGTGGCCCGTAGACTGGGACTGGTGCTGAGTGGGTGTCTCCCTTCAGGTTTCCCACAGAGTCTTCCTCTGACTTCCTAGAAGGATGGGTTGTTTCTCTGTCACCTACTCTGAGGATGGGACCCTGTGCAGAGGACACTTGGGCAGGTGGAGTGTGGTTCCTGCACCCTCCTGCCTGCCTCATGGGCGATGTCTGACATCTCTGTGGCTTCAGTCCCTAGCCATGCTGAAGCTCCAAGACTTTGGCCACCTGATGGGAAGAGCTGACTCGTCGGAAAAGTCCCTGATGCTGGGAAAGATTGAAGGCAGGAGGAGAAGGGGATGACAGAGGATGAGATGGTTGGATGGCATCACCGACTCAATGGACGAGTTTGAGCGAACTCCAGGAGATGGTGAAGGACAGGGAAGCCTGGTGTGCCACAGTCCATGGGGTCACAAAGAGTTGGACACAACTGAACAACAACATCCCCTTGCAGGGCGTCCCCTTTCCCTCCTCGTGGCCTAGGCCGGTTTCCTGCGCTGAATCTCAGGCTGGAGATCACTGTGGTCACATGGAGTGAGCTGGTGCTGCCCCTGGGCACGGTGCCATTACAGAGACTGGTGTCAGTGCCCTGTCTCGATACCCTAACGTTTATAAGGTGGAAAACAAAACCCCTTACTTGGCGAACTCTATGGCACACCATCTTCCTTTTGACAGCATTTAACTCTGTTTACTTCTTCATGGATGAACTATATGAAGATACTTTCTAAATTTTAAAGTGCCAAACACACATGGGAAAAAGGCCACGGGTGAATGATACCAGCTTACATGCTTTGTTGAGGGTCGTAGCTCTGTGTGGTCTTTTCTGCAGGGAGATCCTGCCTGATTCTCTTCATCCCATCTGTCCAAATGCTCCACCTGAGGCCATGCTGACTGACAGGTCACTATGATGTCATCTTTCTGTAAGCCCTAGACTGCTATCAGTTATATTTTAAAAGTTGTAATTAAGAGTTTGAGACTATTCAGCTGTCTTTGAGGGGAAGAACCTATCTCCTTCTCCAGAGAGATAATTAATTCTTAAGAGTATATGGTTTTTGAAGAATTTACTGTGAGATAAAAGACTAGTATTTTATTCTTGCATTTATTAGTATTTAATCAAATGGAAAGTGCACTTTGGTCTAGAAATCTTGGCTTCAGCCACAGGATTAGACTGAATTATTGTTTAAAGAGTAAAAGGTATAGAATTATATGTCCAAGTTATCAAGCCACTGATAGGTTTTAGGCATAATGTAGCTAATTTAGAACATAAAATTCCCTGCTTGGGTTAATCGTTCAGCAGCAGCAGTGTGCATGTCGGCGGCTGCTTGGCCTTGTGGTGGGGATGGTGTCTGTCCCTCCAAGAGCCTTGTGCCATCAAGGCTGGCTCGTTCTCGGCCGCCGGAGCGTGTCTGGAACATAAGACTCTTCCATTTGGGATACAAGTCATCAATCACAGCGTGCTTCTCACCCGAGAATCCTTCACTGCAGAAACAGTCTGCAACAGATTCTTTATTAGGGATAAAGAGGCCCTAATCCTGTGGTCCTTAGTGGTGGCCAGGCTTAGCACTCCTGAAAACCTAGTGGCTGGTTTTTCTAAGCCAGTACTTGAGAAATTCCAGAGAACTTTGGTACCTACTTCTTGCTTGAGGTTGTAGTATCAGAGATGGGAGGGTGAGCATATGGGATCAAAATGGATCTTGTGATTTGTTTATTAGCAGGTGGGAGAGAAGGATCTGATAGGACAAAACCTGGACAGTCCGATAATCACTTATGTACTTTGAGGTCAGGAGGTGGCAGACTTTTCCTAAGATAAACTATTTGGTAAATGTTGCTGGCTTTGCAGGCTGTATGTCCTGTCACAACTACAGCTGACCCTTCAGCGACATGAGGGTTAGGGATACCAACCCCCCACCGTCACCCCCATCCCACACAGTTGAAAATCCGGGCATAATTTAGTCAGCTCTCCATATCATGGTTCTTCATTTACCATTTCCACCAACCAAGGGTTGTGCAGTTCTATAGCATTTACTATTGTAAAAAATCCACGTATAAGTGGATCCACATGGTTCAAATCAATGTTATTCAAGGGTCAGCTGTACTCACAAGAGCTTCTGTAGACAAAAATGAGCCTGGCTACATTCTATTGAAACTATTTATAGTCTCTTAAATGTGAATTTCATGTCATTTTTTGCACATCCTGAAGTGTTTTCATTTGGACTTTCCACAACTATTTAAAAATGCCCTGGGCACTGCTGACCCCGATCATTGTCAGGTGTACAATCTCTTCACCCACATGTGTCCCTGCTTTTTACTCTCAGCTCTTGGTGTTGAGCACTTTGCCTCATTTGCAGAATGCACCCGGGAAAGGCTGACGAAGGGTGGAGTCAGGGAGTAATTGTCTGCATCTTGTCAGTGGGTCCTGGCGGGGACCCTCACTTTGGGCGGGGATATTTCTATAGGCCTCCCCAAAAGCCACCGTTGATTCACCTTCCAGGTGTGGGAATGTGCTTCCTGGCTGTTTGCTGGAGCCATCTCATGAGGATTTTGGCGGAGCCTGTTTCGGAGCCCGACTGGATCTAACTGTACTCACTGCGTTGTGTGAATCAGTGCAAACAGGGATTGGGTTATTGAACCAGGGGACAGAATTATAGTGAGTCCCCTGTGGAGGCTAATTACATCAGTGACACAAAAAGCACGTGTTTATAACATAGAGGTTCTATCCACACACAGGTGGGAAGCTTTATTGACTAGAACGTCTTTCTCCTGGCTTGATTGCAGACAAACCTCTGATACTTTGATACTCTGGGGCTCTTCGGGGGTGAGGACGATTCTGAATCACGTCTTGCTGTCAGGAAGACATGTGTGAGAGCTTTGCATTTCCCCACCAGCCCTACTGGCCCAGCTCCGTGGTGGCTGCAGCCAGCGGCCTGTCCTGTCCCGCTCTGCAGCAGGCATCTCTTGGGTTTGACGGCTTTGCCAGATTGAAAAGTGTTTCTCTCAGATCTTCCCACCTGTTCTCACATGTTTCTTATTCTCTTAAGTCAGTTAAACTGTGCCCAACTGTAGGGGTGGATAAAGAATGAGGTTATTTTCTGCCATGACATATTTAAGCTGAAGCTTCCCAAGACATCACAGTTGTTTCAAGACCTGACACTTCATCGTGAGCACCAGCCTGCCACCCTCTCTCCTGCTCTGTGACAGACTGTCACCATGCAGCCCCGGACTGAATTGGTGCCTCGAGTCGTGGAACGTCTTCAGGTTGTGAGGTGGGTGCTGTCAGCAGGGTGGGCTGAGGACCCATGGGAGGCCGCCAACCCCCCAGGGTGGCCCCGGCCAGAGCCCGGCACCGTCAGACCGCCACAGGACTACTTTCCTCGCGGATGTTCACACAAGCAGCCCTAACAGTAGTTAAAAGGGAAAAGGTGGCATTTTTTCATTTTTTTTCACAGTAAATTATAAGAAGCTCATTCTCTGCCCTTACTGATGTTCAGGATGCCACGACTGACTTGGGGATGCTGTGAGATTTAGGGAGTCAGGGCTCAGGTGTCAGCCTGTTGCTGGGATCCTGTGGGTAATGTGGATTCCTGCCCGCGGGGCCACAATCTGTGCACAGGGCACCGTGGCCCTGGATCCTCATGGGACTTGGGGTTCATATGAGCCTCTTGAGTCCTCCCGGGGACTTGAGGTACCTGTGAGACTCGGGGGTTTCCTTAGGACTCAGGCTTCCCAGGAGATTTCGGGCTCCACAGGACACTCGACATTCCCTTGGGACTCAGGGTTCACGTGAGACTTGGAGTTCGCGCGAGACTTCTGGGTCCCGGGGGTGGGGTGGGGACGCAGAGTTCACGCGAGATGTGGAGTTGTCACGGGACTCAGGTTCCTGTGAGAATTGGGGTTCTCACGAGACCTGGGTTTCCTCGGGACTCGGGGTTCCTGGGAGACTCAGGGTTCGCGGTGTTGTGGAATCAGCTGCTCTCGCTGAGGTGAGTGCCCGGAAGCCCGAGGGGCGTCTCCTTGTAACAGCGTCGGGTGAGACTTCTAGTTTAAATGGGCAGGAAAGGCCAGTCAGTCTTGAGCGCAAGGAGCTCTGGAGGGGGGCGTTCGGCGGCAGGGTCCGCTGTGCGTGCGCGCCTACCCCGGGGCGGCTGCGGTTAGCAGCCAGGTGTTCCCGCAACGCTGCCCGGGGAGGCCGGCTCCTGGGTGGCCTCCCCGCCATGGTCGTTGCTCCCACCTCCGGAGCCCCCGGGGGTGTCGTGCCGCTTCTTGAACGGCGAGGGGACTTGGGACCGGGCGTGAGCACCCGCTCACGGTCACCTGCAGCCTCTCTTCCCCTTCTCGGGGCCCGGACCCTGGCGCGGGTGCTGAGCCGGCCGGACTCTTTCAGGCCGCGTGGGGCCTCGAGGACCAGGCGGGAGGCTCGGCCGGGCCGAGGAGACCTGCGGCGCGCTGCTGCCCTGCTGGCGCTTAGTGTCCGCCCAGTGCTGGCTCCTAGCCGAGCCCAGAGGCCCGGGCCCGTTAGAGCAGAGGAGGAGCTGGTAGGAGGGGCCGTCCTGCAGAATTAAGACTTCCTGGCTGCTTTTCCAAGTCCTGCTCCAGTGCAACGGCGGTGCAGGGGCTGCGGTCGGGGAGCGACTGTGGATACCAAGTTCTCATCTTGCCTCTCTTTGGGCTCCTCGCGGGAGGTCTGGGCCTCGTTCCTCTTGGTAACCTGCTTTCTCTGATGAGTGGTGCATCTGGCCTTCTGGTTCTTGGTACATTGGTTATTAAAGAATAGCTCTTCCTTCACCAAGTACTCAGACGTTCTCTGAATTGCCAGAAGAGGGGTAAGCAGCGTAACCTGCTCAAATTAACGCCTTGGAACGGGGCTTCTCCCGTCTTCACCCAAAGCTCCCTGAGAGGAGAGGGCCTGCAGGCAGTGGCTGGTGCTTCCCCGGATCTGGGAACCCAGCAAGTGGGAAGCGTCTTTGAAGTCTCCTTTTTCCACTTAATAAAAATGTTTTCGTGTATCATTCTCATTTTGGTGTAGTTTTTCTTTCCTGAAATTAATCAGCTAGGCAGTGTACAGTGTTTCACTTGTATTTTTGTGTGCGTAGGCTCCCCTATGTACCCTGAGAGCATGTACACTCAGGTGTGAGCATGCTGTGACCCCAGCCTCTCACTTCACTGCAAGTCTGTTTAGATTTGAGTCTGGTCTGCAGTGCCTTGGTTAGTAAGAAAGCTTTTTAGGGAACATTTTTAATGGTCATCACTAATACACTCCTAAAAAGACCTTTATTGGTCTCTCTGTAGATTGTTCTGGTATCATGTACCAATTTTTGGCAAGATGCAGAGGTATTTTAGCTAAACTGTTAGAATGGATATGTGTGCAGTAGTTATCACTGGTATTGTAACTGGAAATATTTTTCAAAAATGCTTGGAGTTTCAAGGGATTTCTGGAGTAGTTTGTTAAGCTGTATATGTGTTTTATGCATTTTCTCTGTGGTCTATTTCTTTTACACACACACACACACACACACACACACGTTTGTATTCCAACTGCTCCCTAATTCGTGTATTTGCACAGATTCACAACAGTTTCTTTAGACACACACACACGAGTTTATATTCCACCTGTTCCCTAATTGAGTCCTGTGTATTTGCACAAATTCACAATAGCCTTTGAGCTTCAGAACAGAAAAGCAGTTACCTTCCTGCATGGTGTATACTTTAGTTTGCTAACAAGAACAAAAATGAAAACTTTAGAAAGGAAAACTGAATTTTAAATATAGTTTTAAAATGTAGATGGTGCCTCTTTTTTTCTAGAAATGGTGGTTTTAAAGACCAGTGAAAAATTTCCTAAACGTCCCTCTAACACAGCAGCTCTGACAAGCAGGCATTTTCTCAGCTGTTTTTATAACATGCTGCTTGTAGCGGGTTGTTTAGATGACTAGTGAATGCTTAACACCACGCACGTGTGTGATGCTGCAGGGCTGAGCTCAGCCCTGGCCCTGACTCCCCAACCCTTGTTGTGACAAGTATTCTTCAACACCAAAGTGCGGCGAATCAGGACGGTGCTCTGCCATTCAGGGCCGGCTCCAGTGATGAGAATGAAAAAAAGCACAGATTGCATGTTCTGAAAGTCTGTATAAGCTGGGAACAGGCGGAGCACAGTATTTATGGGACCCCCACACCAGCAAGTTTCATGTGAAAGCCTAGCCGTGGGTCTGTAATGCAGAACCTTACATGTCAGGGCCGTAGCAGAAGGCTTTGGGGTGGTTATTTTTTTAATTACGAAGATAAACTTCATTTTTTAGAGCAGTTCTAGGTTCACAGCAAAGTTGAGCAGAAGGTACTGGGAGTCCCCATCCACCCGTGCCCTGTCCGTTGCCCCCCCCCGCACACACGTCCATGCGTTTGCCCACTGTCCACGTCGGGGTCTCCTCTGGCCGTGTGCTCTCCCCGGGTCTTGACAGCTGTGTTCAGTACAATGTCGCGCAGCCAGCACCGCGGTAGCCTCCAGGACGGCTGCCCCACCCCGAAAGTCTCCTGTGCTCTGCTGTTCCTCCCTCCCCCCAGCCCCGGTGACCACTGTTTCCTTTTCCTGTCTCCGTGTAATGGGATCACAGCGCACGCAGTCTTTTCAGTCTTCTTTCACATAGTAACATTCATTCAGGTTTCTTCTGTGTCTCTTCAGGCCTTGATGCCACATTTCTTTTCAGCAGTGACTAATACTCCGTTGTCTTGTGCAGCACTTTAGCCGCTCACTTAGCGAAGAAAGTGTTGACTGCTTCCAGGTTTTAGCATTGTGACTAAAGCGACCATAAACATCCATTTGCAGGCTTTTGTATAGATGTGAAGGGATGCTTTTGCACAACTTTTGGACCTGTTCCAAGTTTGCTATACCAGGCGGCAGTGCCAGCACTTTGTTTGGTAAAATAATTTCAGCCAAATTGAAGCCTTCTTCTTGGTTGTTAGGACATAATTGACTGAGCCGTATTTTGGCCGTTTTGGTGGAAAGTGACCTGGAGAAATGCCACAGTGGAGACCCTGGCCTGGTGGCACTGTGAGCTGGGTCTTAGTCACTGGCCTGGGTTTTTTCCTTCTTGACTCACACACCTGGCAGGGATCAGTCATGTCCACTTTCTTCTCCACCCTCTTTGGCCAGGCTTATTAAGAGGTGATTGGTAGGAGTGTTTTCTCTCTCGTAGGGGTTTGACACATGTTTTTTTTTTTTTTTTTTTACTAGTTAAAAGAATCCCTCACACCTGATTGTTAAGTAGGCTGATCTTGAGTAACGAGGACAAAGGTGCTTCCCTGGTGCCTTTTTTCTTATCCTCTGTTCAGTAGGGTGATTGTAAAACTGGTCCTCATTTCATGATGACTTTGTTGATGTCAGAAGGAGCTGGAGATGGGTTGCTTCCCTTTCCTGCCTCAGTCCTCAGTGCCAGCGAGCTCCCACTTCACACCACAGCAGATGGAAAGGCCAGGACGCCTGAGATGCATCTCTCAGGGAGCCTGAGCTCGGCTGTGGGCTGAGCACTGACTTGGGGGCGACCTCAGGAGCACACGTCTGAGCTGCATGTTTGTGCACTGTGAAGAAGAAGGCAGGCAAGGTTCTTTTTCTAGCTTCTCTCTGGTCATTTTCATTGCGCAAGATACCGACACTAGAAATGGTTAAAAGTGGAAGGTACAGGGCTATGAAGATGGTTCTGGAAGGACAGTGTTTAAACAGGTGTGGCCGGCCTGGAACGCTACAAGCAAAGGAGGAGGAAGACAGCTTGTTACTGGGTTGCTTGCTTTTGATATAGTGGGAACCCGGCCTCTGGCGCAAACTGCTGAATTCAGAACATTAAACACCATTCATGTTGAAAGAGAGATGAAATGAAATTCACTTAGTTTTTTCAGAGGTCTCCAAATAGCTATGAAAAATCAATTTTTTTCTGCCACCAATTAATGTCAGCCACTCTGTGGCTTTAGGTGGCTGCCATGATGATCCATGAAGCTGGGCCTCCAGGCTGCTGTCGCTGACTTGTGCTTCATGGGAGTGGAAGTGGGTTGGTGGGGCTGGCTGTTCAACCTGTTTTGTGTCCTAAGCATGGCCCAGGGTGCTGTCCCCCTGAAAGCATGTGGACCTGGTTCTGCCTGCGGCTGGAGGACTCCATGAAGGAAGTCAGGTTTCCCACCATGTGAGCAGGCCCCTTCTGGCTCTTGGGAAATAGTCAAAGAACTGGCTTATCACAGCCTCCACAGGACCCTGTAGCCTAGTTCTCAACTCACACATGTGTGGGTTTGGCACGTTGGAAACTGATGGTGGGCTTTGGATGGTGGGTTTCCTCCCTGTCCTCCCGCGGGGCTCCCGAGGCCACCACTTGGCTGCTTCCAGAAGAAGGGCCTGCAGATTGCTGTTTCCAGGACAAGCCCCTGTTTTCCTCAGCTGTAAAGCTGGTGCTTAGGAGTAATGATGATTCGGTGGTACAACTTTTCCTCCTCTTCCTGGCTTGGAAACCAGCATGGCCTGCTGTTACTGGAGCAGATTCTGTTATGAACGCATCATAACCCCGTGGGGTGGTTACAGCATCCCAGACACCGCACGCCCCTCCCTGCTCGGGAGGCTCTTAGGTCCTCGGTGCTTCCATTTGCCCTCCTGCTCCTGTGCTCACAGAGAGCTCCCAGATGCCCTGTGCTCCCTCTGGTTCCAGGGCCTTAGCACGGCAGACCTGCCTGCCAGGAATGCTCCCTCCTTCACCCCGCCCTCAGGAAACAAGACTCGCCTTTTTGTGTAGGCACC